GAACCTATTGCAATAAAACGGCAATTTCATACTTTAACCCCTAATATTGCATTAACAGCAAATATAGTACTAAGAGTTTGTTGTAACAAAGTATAATAAAGATTTGGAGTTTTTAGGTTTTTGCGTTTTATCAATTTGGGATATGCACTTTTCTGTGGGTGTTTTAGGTTCTCTCATTCAATTAAATTAACTAAATTTATCAACTCATTAAATTTATTATAAATTTATTATTATTAAATTGTGAGAATACAGGTGTTAAAATTACATCTTACAAAATAAGTATAGTTTTACTGTGTCTGGCCATACATTAGGCATACATATTGGGTTGCCAGGTCTTAAAACCGAATTGCTGGATCTATCTATAAACCAGCCAGTTTAGACAATGCATCGGAAAAGTCCAATCATGCCTGGCAATGCTACGTAGCAAAGATATTGTCTACATTGGACCGGGCTCACCCAGAAGATGCCTATTCACTTGTACCTTATAGATACTCAGGTTGTGTGTGCCCAGAAACACAGGGATTATCATACCTGGACTGAGCCCATACTAAAAAATGACGAAAACCGCTTAGTACGCCTTGAGCGAATGTGCACCAAGTGGGGATGAAGCCGTCGTACATCTGGATGTCCAATGGTATACAGAACTTTTAATATAACTTGTAACTTTGGTAAATGAAATATTTTTGGATGTAAATCGCGTGCTAGTGTTTTGTATTAGATCATTATATTATACAGTGGCGATGTGTCAGTGTCAGTTAGTGTCATACTTATGGTATGGTATGGGATGGTGTAACGGGCTGTTGTCCTCAACTCGACATCCAAGCACCTATTTTGCGTGTAATGGGTGCAGGGTTCTACTCGTGCCACCCAAGCTCCTCCAAAAATTTCAACACTCTTCTGAGTTATTCGAAGACTTTGGGGAGCGACCTTGGCACTCCAATGTATTTTGCCCTGTAGTTGGCCACGCTGGAGCATTGCAACATAGTGTCATAGTTTCAATAGCTCTAGTTTCCTATACCGTTTTGCGTACATTCCTCGCCCGCATCACTCGCACACACCTCTCGCTATTTTGCATGTACAAATATTTAGCTCCGCTAACCCTTTCCACCGGAATTGCACTAAACGAGGCTAGGAAAATAAAGTGCTCCTATTGGTGGATTTTTTCCTCGTACACAGCTTCACTACGTCGCACATCTGTGGTGGAAAGGCAGCCATAAGGGAACTAAAGTGTAACAATCTTAAAAACCTAAGAATTCGATTTCTTGTATCTTATTTTAAATTTGTTGTTTCAGGTTAGAATGGAAACCACTGATAGAATCGAACGTAGCGCTCGGCGTGACGTCAGGAAAGTGGTCTCGCGAAGAACAGTTGCTATGGGAGCGGCAACGAGTTGCTGCATGGGGCATAGCGTCGTATGAATTGCATGCCAGTGGCAGAGTGCTGTTCCCTTGCGCTTCTTCTTTGTTTGCCGCAGTCGAGAGTACTTCACAGGTAATCAAATTTTACAAGAAATGTAAAATTGATACACACTTGGTCACAATTTTGTATTAGTGCGATACCTCCAATGAACACTACGTAATTTTTTGGTCGTATTATGTTTCTAATGTAACTCTGCCACGAATTTAATATGACAGTTGTTGCTAGCGACCGAGTAAATTACTTCACAATTTTGTATGGCAAACTATACAGCGCCTCTAGCGGTCAGAAGAAGAAACAACATTTTGTATACAAACATTTTACTGATAACTGTCACAGTAATCTCATGATAGAGGCGCTGCTCTATTGTTTTGTAGTTCTATTGGAAAAAATATGTGGTTGAATTGAGTACTTCCTTCTTTATTGGAGTCGGTTAAAAATAAACTAATGTTATTCCATCTCTCATTATGTTTGCGACGTCATGTGAGCGAGCTCCATAACTATTAATTAACTAATCAACTGAATTTTACCCGCTTTTCGTTGATAGAACTACACATAAAAACAACTAGTAAATTCTTATAAAAACTACATTCAGCCTTATTTTATTTCCTAATATTATGCTCCCCGAATTTTGTGAAAAAAAGAAACAAAAAATAAAATAAAAAACAAAAAAACAATTTTGTGAAATAAAAATAATCTCAGTACAGAGTACTAAAAAAACCAAACTCAAAAGCACGTGGAATTACATATAATTACCAAGTCTTATTGATGGATTCATCCCCTAGTTCGCCACTATACGGAACTTGACACAGGAGATAATAAAAATCGGTTCTCACTACTCAAAGTATATTGAGAGAAAAACGCCTTAATTTGGAGAATAGCAAAATCAACCATTAAAATTGTAATTGCTCCTTGTAATAAAATTTAGGCGCTATTTATAAAAATTAATCTTCATGCGTGAACAGCCATCCTTAGAGGTGGATGATTTTCTTCAAAATTAAATGGGACCACTATGGAGGTATACTCTTTCCAACAAAAAATGAATCACGAAAATCGGTTCACACTGTCGAATTGAGAACTTCCTCCTTTTTTTGAAGTCGGTTAAAAACAAAATAAAAACGGAGATGACCAAAAATTCAGTTGGCGTAGAGCTCATTGAAGTGGTCGAGTTTAGCTCCTTGTCCAGGAAAGTACTGCCACCTTAACTATTTCTGCCGCCAAGCAATATGATCGTTACTGCGTTCCTGTTTTGAAAGTTAAAGGTGATGGTGAAATTACAGGCACGTATCTCAGGGTAACGGGCAATATCGCAGTGGCAATATCTTTGTCTTTGTGAGTTAAAGCTCTGAGCTGCACTGAAACTGCTATGGTCTTGTTCGTCCCTTTACATGGTATCATTAAAAAAAATATATAGGAAAGCGGATCCTGTCTTGCACCGCCGAGGTTTTCGGAATTTATGTGCAAAGGAACAATGGCAAAATCATAGTTATAATAATTCGTTAGCGTCTTCAAATGTCTTAATTACAAGTTTGAATAAAATAAATTCATTAGGTTCTTCAAATTATCATAGTGGCCATCTGAGTCTGGAAATAAAATCACTGAAGAAGAATCACTTTGGAAAAAATATATAGGATAATTGGGGATATACTGATTACTATAAGGTGTGAAAACTAGATTCCTATAAACGTCCACAATAGAAAATAAAACACAAACTTACCTGGAAATTTTAGAAGAAAACGTCTGTAATCAATAGGTACTTTACATATACCAATGATTTTTTTTTATATCAACTGAACTAAATATAACACGCATACTATACGATATACATTTTTCAAATGACTTTAATTACGTTTGTAAAAAAATACATTCTGAAATAAAGCCAGTGTCCCCTGCCTCTCGACCCATGCAAAATGAACCGTATTAATAGGGTAAAAAATTTGAATTCCATCTGAGGTAGTATCGAGTCTTAAGCGAGGCCACGTTATAGAACGAGTTGGGAGGTGCGGCACTGACCTCTCCACCACAGAAGTCCTGTCTCGTTTTTTATTTATTTAATAGTTTATTGTACAGGAAAAACACAACAAGTCACAAAGAATACAAGCGAAATTAAAAACAAAAGGTTCTGCTTATTTCTAATAGAAATTTCTTCCTGCAGACCTAAATACAGGACACTATAACTAAAAGAACGGGCATATGTGTACAACAAAACAAGGAAAAAAAAAATTAAATTGTTATAAATTATATAAATACTTAGATAAATACATATTTTATAATATAATACCTAAGATATGGATGGAATAGTAGATAAATAATGCTCTTTAACTCTCACTTTAAAAATAGCTAACGATTTAGTTTCGTGAACAGTAATAGGAAGTGCATTCCAAAGTCTGACCGCATGAACAGTGAAGGAGTGAGAATAGAAACCGGAATTGAAGCATGGAAAAGATAACTGGGACCTAACAAGAGAGCGACAGGGTTTATCCTGGGACCTAAGGAAGTTGAAACGCTCTTTCAGGTACCCTGGAGACACAGGGTTATGTAAAATATTGTAAAGAGTCGTTCAAAAGATTCGCTTATGGCTTGGCGGCCGATCGCTTTTCTGTGAAAAAAAAAAAAAAACAATGTAATGAAACCTGCACGTCAGCGTTTATAGCTTACATTGGGCGGCGAAGTAGGACACTTCTATACTTTTTTTAATAATGTTAAGTGAAGAACAAAGTAAGCTACACGCCTGTCCATAACAGTTGCAGTGCCACTCAGAGCTTACACGTGTCTTGAACGAACAATTTTTCTGTCCAGCCACCTCCTTTAATTCCGCGCTCGCTGAATACGGGAGGCGGAGCCCCGTTAACACCAGCGATGTGCCCCCGTGCACCAGATCTGGTGGCGCACGCCGCGAGAGGAGACATATGGTTGGCCGGAGGGGGGCTCAGAAGGCCCACCAGGTTGACTTATGCTTGTAGGGGCCATGAACCAGATCGGTAAGTGTTCTACATAGTTTCTACTCATTACTTATGCATGGTGTTCCAGTGCACATATGGAGAGTATCTCTATTACCGATTCGGTGTTGTCACATAAGAGTAACACGCAAGTTGAGTATTTTTTATATAAATAGCATCGAGTATATAACCAGAAATAGAGACGACGACGTAATTTAATTTGTTTGGAAACTATTTAGCCAAATCCTTACTGTGATAACTGCGCTCCGATTGGCCAGCCCGAATTCGAAACAATTGACGGGTGTCGTCAATTGTTTCACTTCAAATCGACCACTTAACTTGCGCTTTGCTATAATGGACGTAAATTGCAAAATTACATAATATTTAATTGCCGATGAGATGTGATTCCGTTTGTTTTGTAATTAGATGTTTTGCTGTTTTTCCTACACCACCGAATGGAACAGATACTATCATTGTTACGGATATTATCTTTATTACAATAAATACTGAATAATTTTGGTATATACGGAGACGTACACACAGATCAGTTGTTGGCGCTGTACTATTTCAGTTTTCTAATTTGTCATTTCAGTGCAAATGAGAGTTGATATTTAAAAGTTATATAAAGCCCATTTGCCTGATGAGTGGCCAGGGATGGATGGCCCTTATTTTGTTTCTATTTCTGGTTATGGACTCGATGATAAATGGTAACAATATTTTGTCACAATGCGCGAGATATTTGTCTTCGAGACTTTGGGCGTGCGACAGATTTGATTAGTATTAAATTTGTATTTAATGCCATTTGTTGCTCCTTCAATTGATTATTACCATTAAGTTTATCCTGTAACCCGGAAATTGCCTGAAAGAGATTGTTATCTCGCAATAAGGCCGTCTGTTGTCCCTGTCTTTGGTATTTTTTTAATGTATTTGTTCGTTTGTCCAATACAAAATATTTGTGAACGATTGAATGAACGAACGAATGAATGAATTTTTTTTTGTTGCACTTTAAACTTACAATGACAATACAACAGTAACGTCCGTATCACAGAGTAAGCTAATGTACAATAATATTTGTAATAAAAATATTTGTGTTGTATTTTATAAAAAATATAACTATAAGAAGAATGGAATGAGTATAGAATACAGTTAGAATATAATAAAGTTACTTTCTTTATGACATGTAATAGAAAATACGTAAATATAATTTTACAAGTGGTTAAATAATAGTACGACTTTGATAAATTTAATTTCATATAAGATAACAAACAATTAAAGATTTTTAGATAAATAATTACTAATTAAAGTAATCAGTGTTATTACGTAAGTAAAGAGGATTAATCCAGAGCGTAAAAACGATTATGATCATACGATTAGTAATCTATTTATCATCTAACTCCGAGTTTTTTTTTAAATTATTTATTTACTCATATTACAATAATTTATTACCTAGGTGTTTGGCACTCTTAAACTGAAAGTGTTTGTTTTAGAACGATTACACATGACGACTTTAAACAGCGATGTAGTCGCTAATTGTGTACCTTTACACACGCGCGCAATTTTAGTCAGTGATGCAAATGCGCGACTGCATCGATATAAAACCGCTATTGCATCGATGCAATCAATCGCCTATAACTCCCAAGTAGCGATGAAATCGCGCGTTTGTATCGAAGCAGTCGCGCGTTTGCATCGCGTTTGTATACCTGCTTAAAAATGATGCAATTGCGTATAAACCGCAAGTGTGTGTAGTGGCAGTGCCTTTCAGATCTTTGATATTTAAAGCTCTGAGTAGCACTGCAACTGTTATTGACAGGCGTGTAGCTTACCATCAGGCGCACGACTTGTTCGTCTCTAGTAGCATAGAAAATAATGCACTGAAGATATATTTGTGATTTCAGGTTAGCTGACGACCCCAGACAGGCCGGCGTACCGTGCTACGTCACTCAGGAAGAGTTTTCGCGTTATACTGGATTCTGGTGGCAACCTAAAACTGAAGGTACAGCATTACTTTTTTCTTAATATCTCTAAAACATCTCTCTAAAATCTCGAAAACATCCGAATACAAATTTCCTTGCCTATTGTGAGAAAATTTATTCGCTGCAGACTCGACCAAGAATTATCGGAGCGGCACAGCGATATTAAGCTCTCTCTCCCACTTATCAGTAGGGTACGAGCAGATACTGGCCTTTTGTAGCGCAGGGCCGTTTATTACTGCAGTCGATAAATATGTTAGAAATATGTTATCGATATATATGATGTTCAATTTTGTTGTAATAGTGAAATTGGGAATGGAAATAAAAAGTAATTTATATAGCGCATTATCGATAACAATACGTGCTTGAGTCGAAATATTACTTCTTATGGTAAATATGATTTTTTATAAAAACTATCCATTTTGACTCCTGTCAACATTCAAACAGTGAATGGTATTAAAATAAAAAAGTATTTCTTTTAATTAAAAACGGGCAACGCACCGATTTATTTCTTATCGATAACGAGTCATGTGGGCACGTCACTAAGCAGGTGAGAGAGAAAACAGCAATATCGCTGTCCCGCTCTGATGATTTATGAGTCTGCAGCGAGTAAATAATCTTACTATAGTAATTATTAGATTTATTGTTTATAAAGCTTTTGCAACGTTTCATCCTAACCAACTGTCGCATTAAAATCATGCAACCTGTGACGATGCGACCTCTTTCATCATTACCCTACCTTTTTATCACCCTTTTTTCGGCAACACCTGCTTTCGTTACAAAAATCTGTCTAATTTGTTGAAATTTTAATATTAATGATAGTTTTCATATCCTCATATACTCTTCTTCTTAGCCTTTCTAAATGTACATTTACTTTGATTAATACACAAAAACATATTAACATTAATTATCTTCACTTACGGTTACACTTATATGTATATTCAAATCCGCACATGCACTTACATATTGAATAGGTTACTTTAGATGCACTATTCACACTTTATTACGTTCATTATTTTAATGAACAATTTCCCTCCTAGTCGTTTATTGGATCTTTCATTACAAATAACTTCTAGATTTAGTACCTCTCGTTTGTTCTGACTGAAAACCAGCGCCTTAGGAAACTTGGGCATATGCTGAGTCAGCGCCATTTCACTGCTATGACAATTTTTTTTTTCCTGTTGTATTAAATCTGTATTTGTGTCCTACTATTTATCTATCTTTTCTCTGGTTACCAACTCACTTTTGAAATTTTGAATCGTTCTTTCATTATTTTTCTTTGTCATTCTTATTTTGCTTCGCTCCGTCGTCACTTCCATCAAAATTCTCGAGAAGAATAGACGTGTCCTTCAATCATGTAAACCTAACTGCTTATAAAGCAGCAATATGTTACATACGAATATAGACCCTTTTTGTTTGAGTTCACTTACGTTTATGTCTATTTAAAAAGTAATTGAATATATTTTTGCAGATGATGTGTACAGAATAGTGTATGAAGAAGTGGATGAGAGCGAGGTGAAGATATTCAGCTTCCCTTCATCGCAAACCAGCAGCGGTGAAGTCGAAGAATTCAGGTAAGGACTTGCTTCTTATGGTCTGCAGTCTTGCTCACAGAACACTAAATACAGTAGAAGTGCATAGTTTACGTGGTACGTGCGTCAACAGTTCGCGCAGTTCCGCAAACATGAGCTGAGTCTGCCGTTTTCGCTTTGTACGTTATGGTCGTGTCATTATCTCTTTCAAAACCGAAGAAAAATATCTTATTTTGCTACTTTGAAGTTCCAAAAATTATATTCGCACTTGTAGTATTATCCACGGTGTTGTTTCATATAATTGTAAATCTTATCTAATTCATAAGTTTTGAATTTCCTGTATATCGTAATCATTCTTTGTTACAAGAACCGAAAGTCAACCTTGTATCGGTGCAATATGGTCGCTGCTATGCTGGAGAACTAAGTAAACTTCTCTGAATCGTCGTCGTTCAGCTATTGACAGCTAGATGGCAGCACATTGATTGAAATTTCAATATAAAATCAAAATGTAACTTGCAATAACAAGTATTGAACTTTCAACGATATGCCAACAGGGTAAAGCTTAAATTATATTAACAGTCCAGAATTTGTTATTTCCTTTTTAATCAGAATTTTCGTCTAATCATTTTCAAGATTTCAGTGTTACAAATAATGAATGTGTGAGTTTTTTTGTTTTTTTTTTGGTTAAGCGGTTAAGGTATTACCTGCGCAAGCAAGACTTAGTTACGCGATGGATTCTGACGAAGAAACATTACCTTTACTTAGTTCTATATAGGTAATAAAAATGACTCACCTGCTATGTTTTTTTCAGTTGTAATTGCAGTTTCAAAATTGTCAATAAATTTTAGACATACATTTTCCCATACCCTTTTTTTAATCCAGTCGATTGGAATAGCTGGCGGAACTGCTATCCCGTATTGCAGGGTGTTGTTTTACATTCTCTATAAATTCTTCAATTCGATATTCATCCATCGTGGTTAATTTGAAAAATTAACATGTACGCACCTCACTAACCGAATCGCACCTCCACACATACCTCACCGAACGAATCCTATATGTCGACCACTCCTACGTAAAGTATCATATGAAGAAATTGCCAAGTTTACAGGGGAGCCTTTTATATTTGTGAATTCACTTAAATAAGCATAACATGTGACTTTAGCATTTCTCAGTTTTATTCGGCAGAGCTCGTTACTCACATAGAGTATTATAAAATCCTAGATATAGGTTAGATGATCTATGATGATCTATTAGATTATCACTCTATGTTAAGAACGAGCTTTGACGAATAAAACGGAGAACTTTAAAATGCTCCCCTGTAAACTTGGCAATTCCGACATACGACACTTTACGTAGGAGGGGTCGATATATGCGGATACGGAGTCTCCCACACCGTAACGGCCAGTTAATGTGCTGCGAACGTCCCTAGCCAATCAGAGTCCTCGAATTATTCACGTATTTCTATTCTCGTTTGCTCTGACCGGCCAAGCGGGTCTCTACCGTCCGTAACAAAGTCGGTAGATAAGGATAACTCTCATAAATAATAACCCGCATCGGGCCAGAGTGGCGGATTAAATTTTGTGATAACGGTTATTCCTTTTCAGATTTCCACGTGCTGGTACTCCTAACGCGAAGTCCATCCTGCGCCTGGTGACTTTCCGTCTTCAGAAAGCTTCTCCCACCGTCCTCGATTATTATCACGAAGGAAACGATGTACACAGTAAGTTTACAAGTCGTTCAGTCACTTCAACTTTTGACATTGACAGATGTCAAAAGTTGAAGTTACTGAACGAAAATGATGGAGCCATTAAAAAGGTTTTTTTCACTATTGTCAAAATCTTTTTAAATCTCGTTTTTCTTTAAGTCTAAAATTTCCCATTATTTGAGATTTTTTGAAAAATTACCTAATAGTTCTCCTCCCGCACCGCGCAGCTACCTGAGGAACCGACTCTGTTATGCGGCAGGCCTGTAAGTACTATGATTACCATAACATTGGTTGCAGTATCTGACAATAACGACATGGAGGTGACCGATATACGATGGTTTGACCTACGGCAGTCGTTGAAGGAGTCGTTCCCATGGTTCGAGTACCTAGCGCGTGTCGGATGGACCCCGTGTTCTCAGTAGTGAGTATAAGCACACCCCTGACACTCCTTACGACGGTCGAAAGTTATTTACTTACTATTACTACATGCAACAAAGCGCTATCTGCACACGCGCAAATGTGTGAGTGAAGTGCAAGGGTTACCCATCACTTTCTCGTACGTGGTCAGAGCGGCAACCTAGAAAGAAAGAAAGAAAGAAAACTGTTTAGAACTGGAAAGAAAAGAATACACAAAAAAGGATAAAATTAATTTAAAAAATAAGATTATTACAACTATTTATATGAATAAACAGTAATTTACCGTCATGCTTGTCGCGACTGGTACGAACGTCACTTACTCAGCTTTAGTCACAACCGGGTTATTTAAAAAAAGCCGTATCGTGGAGCTGATTTTCAGCAAGCCCGTGGCGAGTGAGCCGCTGACAGCAATTTAAAAAAAAACCAACAAACAATAAATAAACAGTTAGGAAATACCGACGTAATAGAAAATGTACATGTATCTGCCTCTGTGGCCGAACGGTTACCATGCCGGACTGTCACGCAGAGGTCCTAGGTTCGATTCCCGGGCCGGGAGAAATATTTGTATGGCCTACATTTATTTCTCTCGTGAGTTTGGGTGTAATTTGTGTTTGTCTATGTATGTGTCCATGGCACCCGCGACACAGGGTTTCCCTAGTGCGGGGCTATGTTGAGTGTGTGCGTTATTAATAATAATAAGTTATTAATAAGTTAATAAGCTATCTTATTTCAATCCATTTTGAATAAAATGTAAACAAACAAGTCACTGACCCGACCATAGACGGTTTAATGATGGCCAACTATGATGCCAACTACAAATCGATTAATTAATTGAATGAATCGATTTGTTCAATTGAATCATAATAGCAGTTTTCCTTACATAACCTATATAAACATATTTAAAATTTCCGAAATCTTAATTTTTAAATCCTCCTTCAAATCCTTACTTACTTAGAGACTCGTTCCATTGCGTTTGAAATATTCGATTTACTAATTGGTTACAGAAACTTTTATTGAATTAACCGAATGTTCTTTTCGTACAGCGCTATGCAACCATAGACAAGACATGGATGTATAGATGAAAAATAACCTCATTTTTTACTACCATTTTTGAAATAAGATTTTACGATGCTATTCAAACGAATATTTTTGGAAAAAGTGATGTGATATCAAGTCAAAAACTTCAAAATATACGTGAAAGTGTTACTTATTCGATTTATTGAGTGATTGCTTTAGAATTTTAACCAAACAGTTTTGTTTACTTTTTATTCAAAATGGATTAGAACAGACTTTAACTATATAGACACGTAAAATACTAGCGAAAATTCTAACGCGAGTCTGTTATCTATAATTCCATTAATAGAATCTTAATAATTACACATGTTCATTTGGTATTGTGTGTATTTATATCAATATAATATTATATTTTCCATTAATTCACTAATTAGAAAAATCCTGAAGGGTTATTAAAAAATAATTTAAAAGCACCTAAAATTTTGGACAGGTATTTTTAAATAAAGTAACACACGTATTTGAAATTGCGTATCCAACTTCATAATTACTGAGTTAACAATTATATTCACTACATATTTATCGGCATGACAAATTGAAAATTCGAGAATTCTTGTCTACTATATTATATCTCACTATATTATATAATCTGTATTTTAAGTACTCTGCACTAAATAAATGAAGAAAACAATAACTGAATTAGTCCCAGACATAAGTATTTTTACTTACATCGTTTCATATTTCCGACAACGAAAGAAACTCTCTTTACAGCCGTACACAGCACAATTCACGACCGTTATAAATAGTAACGTAAAATGATGTTATATATTAACGTACAAATTTCGTAATGAATAAATGAAAACTATATTCAAATATCAAAGTCGTCTTAGCGCGAAAACGGCTCACCGACAGCCTTGTTGCAGTTCAGTCAATGTGACCGTCAAAGTGCGGGGCGTGGTGCTGTATCTAAAGCAAGGGGCGGAGAGTGTCCATTCTCGTTACTTTTTTGTTCTCTGATTTGATCTCCATCTCACCTGGGGGTCGATTCAGAACCTTACGATAACGCGATTGTCGACCGATTTCATTTTTATTCACAACACCCGCATCGAACGTCAAACTGTCGTATTCGAAACCGAACCGAAATGACGTCACACTCGTACGATTACTCGAATTTCTCGGTCGGAGAAGGCTACAAACGTTATTTAGAACAGATTTATATGAAATGATATTAATGAAAGCTAATGAACGTCTATTGTTTACAAAGCAACCATGTAATATGGAAATCTCTTATTATTTTAATTAAAGTCTGGATTTTGTTCAATTTTACTAATTTATTTGAATGCAAGACTAATGCATTTCTATATTTTAGGCGCCTTTTAAGTCTTAAAAATGTTTATATAAGGATTTTAATTTTTTTTATAATCTATTTCACCGACTAACTCCGTAAAACCTGTTGGATAACGATACCCTATCCGAATGGAACGTTTAACTAAAATAATAATATAATAATAATAACGCACACACTCAACATAGCCCCGCACTAGGGAAACCCTGTGTCGCGGGTGCCATGGACACACACATAGACAACCACAAATTACACCCAAACTCACGAGAGAAATAAATGTAGGCCATACAAATATTTCTCCCGGCCCGGGAATCGAACCCGGGGACCTCTGCGTGGCAGTCCGGTATGGTAACCGTTCGGCCACGGAGGCAGTTTGCAGGCAAAATGTTCTGAATAGCTCGGAAGGCGCCCTTCGATTCGAGAACGATATTCAATCGATTGATTCGATTAAAATATCGAAGAGTTCTGACTCAGGGTCCTGATGGAAAGTGACGATAAGGTCCACGATGTGCATGCACACCTAAATAACGCCTATTCTCTCTCGCCTTGAAAAGCACCAAGTTATAGCGTTCGGGGAACAAGTCCTCAGGCAGGGAATTCCACTAACCGCTCGCCATATAAATGTGGAAGCGAAAAACTTCGAACGAATCCGGGGAATATCCACAACATAGGGGTGGAACCCCAGCCCACGTCTAGTCCCCCGATGATGGAAATGGCAAGGCGGAATCACGCCATGCAATTCCATCGCACATTCTCCGTGATATATCCTGTAGAATACTGATAAGAAGGCAACTTTATGAGGGTGTTCAAGGTTCTGCAGCTTCGCCTCAACCATCGAGTATATCACCTGAAATAGAGACGAAATGTCATTTAATTTGTTTGAAAACTATTCTGCCATGTCATTACTGTGACAACTGTGCTCCATTGGCTAGCCTGAATTCGAAACAATTGACGGGTGTCGTCAACTGTTTCACTTCAAATCGACCAGATAACTTGAGCTTTGCTATAATGGACGAAAATTGCAAAATTACATATTTAATATTAAGGGTCGTATTCTAGAACTCTACTCAATGCTCAAGTCAGGATTGCACTGGAAACACAAGCACTGGAAATACGACCCTAATGGCAGGGACTTGAGTATGATTTTCAGTGCTCACTGCAATACTCAAGTCCTGACTTGAGTATTGAGTAGAGTTCTGGAATACGACCCTTAATTACCGATGAAATGTGATTCCGTTTGTTTTGTAATTAGATGTTTTGCTGTTTTTCCCACACCACCGAATAGAACAGCACGGCATTGTTAGAGACATTATCCTTATTACAATAAATACAGAATATTTTTTGGAATATACGGAGACGTACACAGGTCAGTAGTTGGCCTGTCTATATTTCAGTGCAAACGGGAGTTGATATTTATAAGAGCTGTATCGCTAATGTGTTACCAGGAATATATGACCCTTATTTCGTCTCTATTTCTGGTTATATACACGATGGCCTCAACTAAATTATATTTGTTGTTTTCTAAAAAAAAATTGTTGGGGAATTTAAACTATAGGAAATGAAACTATTTTTCCGGATTTAAATCGCGTATATTTGTTTTTTCAAACAAACCAACGTTTCGGGCCCTTTACAGGTCCAGGCCCTTTACAGGTCCAGGTACAGGTTTACCGTGACCATGGGACATGTAAAGGGCCCGAAACGTCGGTTTGTTTGAAAAAACAAATATAAACGATTCAAATCCGGAAAAATAGTTTCATTTCCTATGTGTAACAATCGCGAAAACCTAAGAACTCGATAATTTAAACTATATTTTCACATTTTTCATGAACAGGCGCATACAAAATAATGTCAACAAAATGTTATATGAGAGCTCGTTATGTTTCTCGAGTTTTTCTCTAAACCTCTATGCAAGTGCTGCATTTTCAATTAGAACGGCAGTATTCTACGCAGGTGAAGTCACGGACACCAGCTAGTATCATATTGTGTAGGAACAATCTGATAGAGTTTAACTTGCCGAATTTTGTCACCTAAATTTTATAACAACCTTTTGTAATGCAGTGTATGGGTTCAACTGCTGGACCGTAAGCAGCAACGGCTGGAACTGGTCCTGATACCTGTCGAGGAGTTCTGCTACCCCTGCGGGTACGAGCACGCACCCCCGGAACTCGCTGTGCGTGACCACCAGTCGCCGAAACAAAGAGAAAAGGTATGCGGGCTAACCAGGCGCTGGATAATGAAGAATCGTATAAAAGGAAGGACAGACTGAAGGCGTTCATAATCTGTCTTTCCAGCTCAATGGTGTCGTTTAAGAAATAGTAGATTTTTCGTACACTTGGCTACACGCTTGTCCATAACAGTTGCAGTGCCACTCAGAGCTTTAAATCCCAAAGATCTGAGGGGCACTGCCACTGCACCCGTCACCCTAAGACATAAGTTGATACGTCCCATTTGCCTGTAATTTCACCAGCACCCTTGCCCTTCAAAACTGGAACACAGTAATGCTGACGTTACTGCTTGGCGGCAGAAATAGGTAAGGTGGCAATACTTCCCTGGACAAACTCTTTCACAAGGAACTCTACAGCTACTACAACTACAGCCCTAACGATGCATAGCTGAAATATTCAACAATTTTCACTTAAACAATTTCAATATTCTAAAACTGGTTTTAGGTTTTTTTATGATATCTTAAAAAAATGTTTTGTCTTAAATTTTTATTGAATTGATATTCAATTATTTTTTGTGAATTTACTCCACTAGTTTGTTATAATTATTAATACAAAGATCGAACACTCAGAAAAAATTCCTTCGATCCGCCTGTATTCGAACCGACGTCTTCTAGCATACCGTGCCAGACGCTTTACCAACTAAGCCACGGAACGAACCAGCGGACCTCACGAATTTTTCTGTGCTTGTTGTCGTGTCTTTGTTTTTGGTTTCTCAACAACTGTTTAGTCGTAGCGCCATCTATGAAAGTATTTCGTCACCTAGTTACCTTTACAGCTACGAGCCCCGGCTAGAGATGTCGCTATTCACTGTATATTAATTTATTTTTTGAAAGTTTTATAACAAACTAGTGGAGTAATTAAAAAAAAAAATTAAAATATCAATTCAATAAAAATTTAAAATACAGTGAATAGCGACATCTCTCGCCAGGGCTGGTAGCTATAAAAGTATCTAACTGGGTGATAAAACTTTCATAGATTTCTCATAAGTGGCTCTACGACTAAAAAGTCGTTGAAAAACCAAATACAAAGCACGACAACAAGCACATAGAAAATTTGTGAGGTCCGCTGGTTCGTTCCGTGCCTTAGTTGGTATAGCGTCTGACACGGTATGCTAGAAGACGTCGGTTCGAATCCGTCCGGATCGAAGGAATTTTTTCTGAGTGTTCGATCTTTGTATTAATAATTATAACAAAAATGTTTTATCACTTAACCGCGTATTAATTAGCAGACGGCAGTACTACTGCTACTAAATTTTCTCTGTCTCCACAGCCAATACAAATCCTGATTACGGAGTCAGCGCCCGAAGCATGGATCAACGTGCACGATATTCTATACTTCCTACCGTCGTCACCGGACTGCATCAGTTTCATCTGGCCATCCGAGGAGAGCTCACATCTTCACCTCTATCTGTACACTTGCTCGCTGCAAATGCACGTCACCAGGCGTACTTGTAAGTAGATCCAAATGGTGGAATTACAGGCACATGGGACTTGTCAACTTATGTCTCAGGGTGACGGGCGCATTGGCAGTGCCCCTCCGATCTTTGCGATTTAAGAGCCGATACAACCTCAAATGGCTTGAAAGTGTTGGACCAAACA